TAACACAGTGCACTCGTGAGGAAAAAATCTATGTGCAACTTATGTGCTAATTGTCTATAGCGCGGCGCGGGGGCGGGGCAACGCACTCGCTTCGCTCGTGCTCCCGCGCCCGCGTCGCGCAATAGACAACTTACCACACACGTTACACAATGTACTATTAAATATATATATGTAATTTGTAAAAAAATCTAAAATTTTTTTATCCAATAATGTCTAAAATATTTTATCCAATAACAATTGTACAAAAAAGAAACTAGAATATACTTTTACTTTTGTTAAGTACGCAAGATAAATCTGTTGGAATTCGTCACATTTAATAATATAAATAATATAAAAAATTGTCTCTAAGAGCAAACATAAAGGCTCGTCTCTTCGAAGTCAATCAGTACAATCCATTATATGGAACAAGTTTTAAGTCTGAAACCAAAGACAAGATCTTTGAAATTTTAAGTTATGCACGTAGGTCCATTCTTTGTAGATTAATCGTTATCTTCTTAAAGATATTCTGTCCTTATCTTATCTGTCAGGCTATTCTAATTTAAATGAGAATTATTTACGATACTCGACAAGTCTGTCGTCAAGAAAATACAAGGACGAAGCGAACGCAGATTCGAGCAAGAATCGGAGATTTTTGTTTCGTTCGCGCCGAAGAAGCGGGAATGCGCAGATACGATAAGACTATAATGAACCGAGCATGATTTTCGCGCCCTTCACCCCTTCCATTCCAGTACACGTGACAAATGAGCGTTTTGCCAAGGAGAACGCGCATTTCGCCGATAATAACATGTCGGCAGGTATTCAGAGGGATGTGCGTAATTACGGGTGACGCGACCTACGACAGAATCGCCAGTGGATGCTTCTGCTGAAACGAGCATATGATGTATTCACAACCGTGCGCAACTTTAACCCTTTCTCGAATACCAGCGGCGATTTTACTCGCGGCAAAAAATATATGTAAGTTATAAAAATGTACTTAAATTTTTGAATTTACTATAAATTGTAATTTCAAGAATATGTATATGTATATTAGTTCAACATCTAACTCTGACCGTATCGGCGCTTCTCGAATTTAGGCGATGTATTCACATAAATGGTCTTATTTTCAATCCTAATATTATTGTTTACTAAATTGAGTTAACAGAATACTACATTTGATGAATTTGAATATTCTTTGAAAAAGTAGCGTTTTTATCTTACGCGCGCGCGCGAAAGTAAAAACTTTACGCAATATTTACGTAATAGGTCAAAGCGTGGCGATAATCTAGCATTAAGAGTGAGAAGTATCGAACTATATTCTACACGTTGTCACTCGAAAAGTAAACTTTGTCTTTGATTCAGTTGAATTATGGATACTTCCTCGCACGCTTTCCGACACGCTTTGTGATCTGCATAAATATGTGGCTAGTGAGCGCGTTTTATCCCGTCGGCGTAAGAGATATACGGCGGAAAGGTGGGCGCGGAAGGCGACTTTACGACTACGCGCGCGCGTCGATAGATACGAAGAACAGAGGAGGGATTTTCTCGGCGAGAGAATCGGATTTCGATCTGCTTTCACGACGTCAATATTAGAAAGCCACGCGTAACGCGCGCTCATCCGAGACTGATCTTTCGTCTAACGCGATACTGAAAGATGATTCGCTTGCAATTAGTTCTGCTGGCGCGTTCGCCGATACAGGATGTGCTTGTACCTAATTCGCTACACAGAATGCGCCATAGACCATGAAAATGGAGCTAAGAAATCGGCCGGAAGAAGAGTATTTCGAACCACGCGCACGAGGGATTTCACCCCTCTCAAAAAACGTCTCGTTTCTCCCTTCTTCTCTTTTACCATTCGACCCACCTACGCAAGTGTGTGTACAGCCACCCACGCTGTGCATAAGCGTGCAGAGATCGTGACGATTCCCACGGAAAGAGGCGCGCGCGGGTTTGAATTATCTTTATCCACACGGAAAGCATTGCGTTCGAGCTATCTCTGAGAAGGAGATGATCCAAAGAATTCAAATTGGTTCAGGCTTCAGGCCGCTCGGCTCGTATCTTTCGAAATTCTCATCCCAGGAAAACACTTGGGCTAGGCTACGAGCGGTTAAACGTCGATTGGTCGGATCCAGATACGCGCGTTCGGAGTCCACGAACGAGGAACGAATCCCTCCCTGAGCAGGGTCGCATCGTGCGACGTAGCCCGAGGCTGTCCTCTCTTGCTGGGTGCCCATTTTTCACGAGGTCGCTCTCTCCCTCCTCGTGTTCCTCTCTCCTCCCTCTTTCTCTCCCTCCCTTAGGCTCTCCGACTCCCTCTTTTTTTCCTCTTTTAATTCCATCTTCTTTTTCTCCTTTTAATCTCTCTTCGTGTAGCGTAGCCAACGCCCGTTCTCTTCGTCGCTCATGCAGTTTCTCTTTTCCTCCTCTTCTCTCTCTCTTCCTCTCTCTCTTCATCGCTCCTTCTCTTCGTCTCATCATGGACTCACGCACACGCCCTCCTCTTCCATCCTCTCTCCATCTCCAATGTTCTCCCCTCCCTCGTGTCGTCTCTTGCTCTTTCAATCCCGAGTCCATCTCCGTTCGCAACTACGGCAGCAGCGCACCGGCAGCAGCTTCGTTCTCTGCGGCATCCGGCATCCAGCGTAGACGTCTCTTACCCGTATAAGAGAGAATCAATCGGACAATATGAACGTACTTCGTCGCAGCGAATCTTTTTCGCAGATATCTTTCTCGCAATAATGGTAGAAAGGAAGGAAGAAGAGACGAGACAAACTCTCTTCTCCATAATGAAGAAGCTCTTTCTCTCTCTTTCCTTCATTGTGTTCATTACGTTAGTTTGACGAGAGAGATGAGAGGAGAGAATTTTAATGTGTGCGTATGCATGTCTGCCTTAGGATGACTTGGAAATATGCCTCGATCGTCCAAGGTAGACAGTCTCAGGCAGAAGGGGCTTTCTTTATAGCGCGCGTAGAGATAAGCCGAATAAAAGAGATACTATTGCAAAACAAAAACTTATAACAGAGAGATGTATCTAAGATATCTTTCCAACCAATGAGACATCTACCATCATTCGGTCGACGCCTGTTTAGCGCGTATGTTCGGTCAAATGACTTCACGTCCTTCTGTTAGACATCCCTTTCGGATACGTTTGTGGTATGTGGATATCCTTCTCAAGGTGGCAAGATAAAGAGCGAGCGTTATAAAATCGAAACGGGAAGGACAGGAGGGAGAGAAGCGGCGGCTAGGGCTCAGATACGATAATCTTACGTGTATGTGTCCTCCTTCTCATTCCTATATCTCTCTGCGGCTACCCTTTTCAAGGTAGTAAAGTCAAAGCGGGACAGAGCTACGAGAATGAAATCCGAAGTAAGAAGGACGCCGAGACGCCGCGATAACGTACGTCTATACCCGTCTTTGTCCCGCTTGGACCATCGACCGCATGTATCCTTCTGAAGTTGGCAAGGCGGCTCAAAGCTGAAACCACCGAGAGAACGGAAAAGAAGGAGAGAAAGAGAGAGGAAGAAAAAGAGGAAGGGGGGGAGGGAGAGGAGAAGAGAGAGACAAGCCAGAAAGACGGTGAAGCTGGACGGAGAGACGTGATAATGCACGTGTGCGTACACCTCGATCATCTTCGTTTCTCCCACAGCAATTCTCGTGAGATATCTCTCTCGGGAGGTAGCTGAACGAAGAGGAGGAGATGAAGAAGCAACACGTTAGAGAGAGATGATTATAGAAACACGATAATGCCGGGTGGCCAGGATCCCGCCTTGTTGATGATTCGATGTTCTGTTTGTATCTGTGTAACGTCGCGGAGAGCTCCATCCTGGTCGCACTCGGCTGCGAGAGCTACGAGAGTGTCCTTGTCGCGCTGGCTACCTGTGCACCAAACCCCACTAGCCTCCTACCTGTGCTTATAATATTCATCTGTCTTTCTCTCTCCTCCCCCTCTCTTTCTCTCTCCCAACAGTGTCTCTTATCCACTTGCACTTTGCTATCGTCTCACAGCCAACCACTCTCACCGTCCTCCTTGGGAGAATACGCGGAGAGAAAGAAAGAGAGGAACGATAGCTCGCCAGAGAAGCTTGAGGATCTTCTACCATTCTCTTCTGTCTTTCTCCATCAGAAGTGGGAGGGCAAAGAAACGGAAGAAAGAGAAAGAGAAAGAAAAAAACGCAAACGCCGAAGGGAGATAGTCACTAAGAGAAGGCGTTATGCGCAGGTAAACGTAAGAGCGAGAGTGAGGAGAGGAGGACGAGGCTCTGGAGCGAGGGAGGATGGAAAGACCGTAGACGGAAAACATGCGAATGGGAACGAGTGGGAGAGAGAAAGAGAGACAGGGGGAGGGAGCAGGCGGTAGAGAGACGCGCGATCGTGTGTGAGACGCGAATGAAGGGAGGGAGGGGAGAATTCGAAGCACGGAGCTAACAGCGTGATGCTGGGAGGCGGCAGCGGCGACGGCCATATTGCTGATCTCGAGAGGCGAAAGAACGATCCGAGAGAGCACCGTGAAGCTGCTGGGTTTAGTGGTCCGACCCAAGGTTTTAACGGTTAAAATACTATTTGTTGCTTCAGGCAAAGTTAGTGAGTCCTAGTCTTTTTTATTAAAAACGTTTAGATTCCAAAATCTATCGCATAGTTTAGTTCGGTTTCTAAGTTTTCAAGTTTCTCAGTGATTGTATGCGACAGTCGTCATCGTTGTCGCGCGCGTGTCGTGCGAGTGTGTGTCAAGCCGGTGCGCGATTATGCGATTGAAAGTACAAACGGGATAAGAACAAATCCAATAGGATCCTAAACGCGGACCATCGATTTTTAGCGGTACGCTAAATATCAAAACGAAACGATCAAATGTGACACTTGAGACTCGGAGAAATGTCAACGTAATAATGTGCGCGTAGTGAATTGCGAGTGTGACATCAGGTGAACAGGCGACGCACTCAAAGAAGAGTATCTTACCGAAATATTTCGCAGAACCAACAGCTTCACCGGTCGAGAACGAGAATCAACCAAGCGGAGAATTGCGCGGGCCCCCGAAGAAGGGTGCCCTCGAGAAAAGAGTAGTCCCAACATCAGCGAATTCGTCAAGACGACAGACGCCTCGGTCTATGGAGAAGGTGGTGACACTATCATCCGTTGAGATGTGATCCAGAACATAGGAGGGACACTTAGTAGTTTGTAGTTGGTCCCCATCTCCCCCCTCTATCACCCCATTACCCCACTAGCCCCCTCGTGACTTCTACCACCTACTCTATCTCCCCCTCTCCCCTCGTACACATGCACGTGTGATAATCCACTTCACCGGTAAAAAGCAACCACCGGATCAGCAGCTTCTCTCAAATGCACCGGCTACTCTACCGCTCAACGACACTTCTCCCTCCCTTTTAATACGATCCTAATGAGTGAGTATTATCTTCACATCGTCATCAGTTTTATTACGATAGTCTAGGACTTTACTGTAGCGCGCGCATCTTTGTCAATAGCTGGGGGCTACCTGCGCGATGACGCACAGGTGACGCGCAGGTGACCTACCGGTGCAACAAGTGGGTGCGTGTAGAATCGTAGACCATGAGGTTACCACGCGATATTCAGCCGGTAAAATGCTTCGTATTTTCTTTTCGACTTCTTTGCTTCTCAACATTTTTAAGTATTGTTACCTTTTACAATATATGATACACGCTACGGCTATCAGATAATAAAAATTTGTAGGCAGATAAATTCTCTTTACTTGAGATATTTTATTAAAATGTAAAAATGTATCTATGGCTATATTTATAGATTATTACATGCTCTTTGCTATTTTTGTATAAGTAAACAAGACTTACAGATAAATGATTTTTATAATAATACAACTTCGTTTTTTGTTTCACAATCATACCCGAATTTAAGCATAAACTAGTAGTTAGAACTGATAATTTAAATAAATAATTGGAGTTAACGAAAAAATATATGTATGCATACTTATCATTAAATATATAATAAGAACTACAGTTATACTCTTTTTACCATTCAATTACTCTTTACTTTGATATGAATGTACGCGGTATGTATGTCACAGTCAAAGTGTTAACTTTAGTAAATGTATACATTTACAGCAGACTACAGTAAGTGTACATCTACTGAGTCAATTTTGACTGTGACATATACACAATACATTACAGATTACATTTTAAATTAAATACATGAATATTTAAAGAATTGTTGTATTATTTTTTCTCAAAGACATATTCTAATCGATTTATTAAAAACTACTGAGACAAAAACATTACGACAATTTTCGATATCCTAGAATTTAAAAAAACCAAGAATTTTAGAAAAAATCTAAAAACTTTTTAGTCATTCATATTTCATATTTCATTGCTCCTTTGAATGCGGAGGTCAAAGATACAAACGAGCAAATAATAGATCAACCATTCTCGCTCGAGCATAACAAAGCTGCACAATTTATGGTATATCACAAAGAAATATTACGTTAAATTCAGAGTCAACATGATTCTGATTTAGTCACAGTTATGATCTTTAGAAAAAGAGCGAATAAGAAATGTGTCAGTACAATGAGAACTTAAATCAATAATTTATCATTTAACTATTCTTAAAATCGAGCTACAAAAACGCATAGTCGACAAACACAAAAGTATTCTCATAATAGTTTGTTATTAAACTATGATGACTTGATGAAAAAGATATGACAACTTGAATGCCACTGACCTTACTTCTAATAATTAATAATAATAATCCGAGGGCAAGCAATCACTCACACTTAAAAGAAATAGATATACAATGGAAAAAGCCGACAACGGAGGAAGAGTATTTGTGGCACATAATATTGCTATGCAGAAATCGACTTTACGTGGTAGATGCAACCTGGAGAAAAAAATTCGCGCCTCTTTGTCACGGTCAACATCAAAGTGAACACCTTAAGAGCGTTAGGAAATTATAAACATATCCTGACGTCATCCGTACCGTGCTCAAAGGGAATCACCTGGAACTCTCACTAGATCTCTAGAAATTCACTCTCGATGCACTTAACGGCAATTCCGCCGTTACAGCTGCACGCCATGGATTCTAACCGACCAAATCGCGGTCGGCACGACTGCAACACCGCGATGCACACCGTCACGATGGTAGGTCTAGAATCCATTGGCGACAGGTGTAACGCACGATCAAGGCGTCTGGCCGCTGATAGACACATCGCCTTCGCACGACCCGTTAACGGAAGAAGACGCTTCCTCCTCTTTGTACGACTCGACGGAGTCCTCCGTTCTCCAGAGGCATCGTCCACTGACGCGAAGCGAGGGCGTACAGGTACTTGAAATACAAACGGACCCACGGTGGTGGGTCCAATCTGATGCAGGGTTCCCTTTGAGAATCAGGTTAGACCGGCTCCTCTGAACCTGCTTCTCTGGCTTCTCGTCTCCGGTTCGCGGTTGTATACCGGCCCAGTACGTACCTACTCCTTCTCCCTGGTCGCCCCAATCTCCTTCTTCCGCGTAGTAGGTAGATACCTACCTACCTACTTTCCGCCGCCACCCTCTTCGACGTATCTCTGTTCCTCTTTGTATATATATATATCTCTCTCTCTTTGTCTCTCTCTTTCTAACAACCAGTCTTGTTCCTTCCTTGCGAACATCACCGCGCGCGTCTCCATTATTGACGACGCGCGGTCTAAGAAAGAAAAAGAGACAGAAAAGAGGAAAGAGAAAGATACCGAGAACCGGCACCGTCCCGTGTGTTCACTCTCGATGGTCCGGCTTCCTCGTTACGTCTATTATTATACCTGTCTATCCGTCAGAGCAGTGCCCGCGAGCTGAATTCCAGTTTTACGCGCGCGCCCTCCTCCACGCGCGCGCTTACACGCGCCTACTCTGCCGTAGTAGTAGGAGCAGATGAACGAGTCAGAGAGAAGAGCAAACCGACTGGTTTTGCTAACCATCCACCTGGACAAGACCGCGCGCGAGGATGTAGAATTCGCGGTGTCAGACTGGTTGACCGACATCCACGCGGATCCTTGCCCGGCGATAAGTGAATAACGCCGAACCTGCTCGCTCACTCACGCGCAGGTTCCGGTTTCCCGATCGCGGGAGTACGCATCCCGCGTGCGTGAAACTTCTCCTTCTCCCGCGGGCCACGTGGCGAAACCGAGACGCGGATTCTCCGGTTCCGGCATCCACTTATTATGCGGAGAAAACATAGAGTTCTCTGCTTGCATTTCTCTGTTAGTCGGTGGTTGTCGGTTCATTTTATTTTCGCAGTCTCTAAATACGCGTTAGATTAATTACTTATGATAAGCTGAATAGAAAAAAAATGTATTCACAAGAAGTCATCAATAGCTATAAATTACTTTAATGATGAAGATGGATAGCAATGTTAATAGACATTGATAATCTTATCTCATAAGTACCTTTTTTCCTTTTTGTTTCTTGCAGATTTTTATCGCCCGCCTTTCTTCAAACAACGTGCCATACAACCCTCAGCAACCTGTGATATAATACTCGATGCCTAAATATTTACATAGACGTAGACATCTAGTCGAAGACTAGATCGAGCTGAAGGTTTCGTCGTCAAAAGAAAACTTCGAATCCTAAGACAACAATAATTTAGCCGACCAAAACAAGCGTTCAAGCATTTTAAGCACGAGGATTTTAGAAGATTATAGTACGAAAAGAAGAAAAATTAACTGAAGACGGCGCCGGAGAATGTCGACGTGCACCGACGAGGCTGATAATGCACCCTGCACTCTGTCTCCGGTTAGTTACAAACTTTCATTTTCGAATAATAAAATTTTACGCCACACATTTTAACATGACTACTATTAAATTGAATTAAAAAATGTGAAAATTTCCTTGAAACAATAGAGTAATACAGCTATAGCTTAATAGGCCAATTAAGATCAGATTCATTTTATATTAAATTAATAGTATACAAAAATAGTATTTTAAAAAATAGAATAACATTTTTAAGCTAAAACATTTACGTGGTATAATTCAGTAAATAGATTATGGTCTACGTTTGGTCTACCTATTTCCTTTTTTTTCTTTCTTCTTCTTTTTATTGTTCATTCACTTGCATTACCTTTCTCCATGTATCCGACAACCACCCGTAGCGCAAAATAATGAGGATGAATCGTAGCTTATTATTACTGGTCATAAAGAGAATTTTTGGAACATTTCTGAGATGTCAAAGTTTTAAAATAAGTTACAAATCTCTATTCGTATATAAAAACGTAATCTGTCAAGCTATTATTAAATTACCAAGCATTTTCAATTTTGAATAGCGAAATCTTTGGAAATAATCAACCTTGAAAAGAATACAGCTCAAAGAAGGCAAGCTGATATTTTTAGCGCCGTTTTGACGTCAAAATGACGTCTTTATAATGTCATTTATGACAAATATAATATCAGTTTGCTACTTGGAAAAGGATTAACTTTAAAACTATTAAAGTTTGGAGTTTTAGAACTTCTTCTACGCATATTAAGAAAATAATTCTTTTTAAGAGAAGTATTACTAAATCGGATAGGGTAAACTAGGGTATTATGGCCATACGGATAAGATAGCTATAGGTTGTAATTTCTTTAATAATCGTTAAGTAGAGCGTTTTTGTAGTCGTTCTGAAAGACTATGGCCATCTTATCCGTTTGGCCATCTTACCCTAGTTTATCCTATGCTAAAGTATTTATATTTTGTTGTTCACTTTATTTGTTTTATATAATGACTGAAATTTTTATTATATCTAACAATTTATTAATAATCAAAATCTTTTATATTTCAAATTTCTCAATAACAGAAATCTATTGAACAGTTATTTCAAGAAATTTTACTTTCAATTATAATACTCACTAAACTCATTTCCGATGCAATAATAAGGTAATCTTCGAGGGCAAAGAAATGTGTGCTTTCATGAAAATTTAATTCAAATCACTGCGGGTAGCTTCGAGTTTTTGTAGCTTCAAAGAGTCTCGCTGTTCGAAAGTGAAATGCATTGATCAGCCCCGTTACTCGCGATACGACGTTCTACAATGAGAAACATGAGTACGGCGCGTAAACCATTCTCCAGGAACATTAATAGCTCGACGGTTTATGGATAAATCCCCGCGGGCTTATTATGGACCCATTTTGCCTACTGCGCGCGATTGGCGATCTCAATAATATGGATTGAATATTTCAATACCAAAGAGCTGCTTAACTTTTAGTTTTATCTGGCAATAAAAAGTATATAAAGGTAACGATCAACAACACGACGACGTAAAAATTTATCAAAGAAACAAAACTTTTTTTATCTTTCTCCTTCACCGTAATAACATCATAATTACAGATCAAGGTAGTTATTATTATTATTATATGAATACAAGTAGTACCATAAAAAAAATCTGAAAATGTTTTGCGTTAAGATTAAAACGTTTAAACGAGGAAAAGTTTTAAGTGAGAAAAATGACGAGGTGATTTTTATTTAAAATACCATCAGTGAACATTGTAACAAAGGCTGATAAAAAAAGTAATTTGTATTTTACTCTGCTTAAGCGTTGCGTGCAAATACGCGTGCATAAATCTGATGAAAAGACGAAAATAAGGACGACTCGTTTCGCACCTGCGTCTGGCGCCTTTTAATACGCGGTTAAATCCGTTTACGACAAGCATCACAGTACACGAGCATACCGGGTGTTCAAGTAGCCGTGTAAATATTATCGCGCTTCCGGATCGAGAAAGAGAACACCCATGCGCTTCTTCATCGGAACGTGGACGGTCGCGTCTGCTTTTCATTATTGTAAATCTGTACACGTCGATGTCCTTACGAGACTTCGACATTCTGAGATGTAGAAACGGACGATACGTTAATCGTCCATCCGTCTCTTCGTATATACGAAGGGATCTACCTATCTACCTGCAGACAGGATTGAACGAAGAGATTCGCTGTGCGCGGTGATGACTCTTCAGATTTCTCGTACCTGATGGTCAAACGAAGGGAACCTTCGTCGATGATCGCACCGTTCATTATGGAGATAAGAAGTAAAGGCTCTTTAATAGAATTCCGAGCGACTGGTCATTTTGTATCTTCATTAACTTTTTCGTTAACCGATTCATTATTGGGCGGTAGCCAACAGAAAAAAAAAAAGGCAAGGCAAGTCCCTGTAATTCGTGCACGCAAATCTTTTCTTGATTCAAATGACTCATACTGACTGCAAAAACGAGATTGAAAGAGTGTAAGAAAAATGTATCGAAAATAAGCATACACATTGGCGCGACGCCAAAATATTCTACTTACGAAACAAATTCGCGGCAAAAAGAGGAGAGCTTGATGAGTGGATGATAAGCGATAATCAACGATGACGTTAATTAAATAAGCCATTTGATGTAAGTGCAAGATTAATATATTTAAACCAGATTTTCATCATTCACATTTTATATCAGAAGTTTACGAAATACTCTCTTAATATCTAGTTAGCTGCAGTAATGTTATTCAAGCTGCATCACAGCGTGATTTTATTAAAAGCAATATATATATATATATATATATATATATGTGTGTGTACTCGATACAGCTTGTTTATATCGAGTATTCGATGAATAGTGATGCAAAAGAAATTTCATTGCAATCACAATCGTTACATTTTTGCCGCAATTAACGCATTCAAATGAAAACTAACGTTTCTTACAACTAAGAACATTAACCACATAAAACAATAAAAAGAAAGTTGTTTACGAGCCGTTATTTAGATGCACGATAACATGTAAAAAGACACTACATAATTTTCAGCTCAAGGCTCAAAATTCCTGATTTACATTTATCGTTTAAGGAAGGAAATTATTTTTTACGATTATCAGATTTTTAAATCAGTCCGATTTCATCAAGTTTCATTTATTTGTTAATTCAGTTAACGGTTAATGAAATCGTGGCTTCCTTTATAAGTCGAAGACTAATAGACACACCAGTAATCTTCGCTAGAGGTAATACGAGCGATAATGTTTACGATAATAAAAAGCGAATCGCGAGGATATTCCGACTGTTACGGCAAACGGACGAGGATCGTACCCTTAAGATACGTACAGTACCGCGAAAGAAAAGCATCTAACGATTCCACGTATCTACATCCGCGTTGCACGCAGCTGCGTACCGCGTCGCGATCGGCAATAACTGCACGTTGCAAGGGGGATGTACGCGCGCGATTCGCAGCCTACGGCGACAAACGAGTAAGAAACGAGAGAGACGTTCAAGTACCCGCGAGTTTTAGCCATGGACGGACGGACCATTCGACCGACAGACACGTTGGACTACTGTCCGGCACGAACTCTTACGAGCGCAGACCAACCGGCCAATTAACTGTTATTATGAGGAACTTCTTGCGTGTAAAGAGGACGCGCAGCATTCTAAACGAGCTGCCGCGCGACAGCGATCCGTAGGATTCACGGTAGTCATTTCGAGCTATTCGCGAAATCGCGATCGTTTGTCTTGCTCAAAAGTTTTGTCAACATTCGAATAATACGTGTTTAAGAAATACTTGTTTTTATTTCTGTGAAATGAAGAATGAGAGACAGAAAACGAATGACACAACCGTAAAAAATTATGTATAAAAAGGTTTTGCTATTCTTCCACGTTGGGACGTGTAACAAACACACAGTTCAATAAACTTCCGACTTATTGTAACCTAATCAGATTAGATTGCATTCTTAAGTTAATATGTGAGGTAGTCATTGCTTCTCAGATATAACTTTCTTTATCTTATTCTGGAAAAAGAAAGTAAAAAGTATCGACCACATGCCTAGAAGTAAAAAAAGTTCATTATTTTTATGTTCCTTATCTCTTAGACAGAGAAAACTAATATAAATTTAACTATACTAGTAAATAAGATACTAACAAAAAATAACTATTGAATTAAATTAATTTTTTGGATATTCTAAATATTTCACCTACAAACTTAATATCTTTAAACCACATATAATGTACTTAACCCGGGAATAATCACCTGACTCTTTACTTAAATTAAAGGATCACTTGTGACGTGTTTTACATTCTAATTAAAATTATCATTATATTATATGTTATTGATTTATTATTATTCCGATTTATTAGTATTTGAGAACTTATCTTATGTGGATATAAATTTAATTATAATTTTCTGAAAAAAATATGTTAAACAATAACCATACAAAGCAATTATATTTATAACAATTCACATTTTTTCGCCGCTGACATAAAAATACATTAAATTATATAATAATTCTTTGATAACAAAATACATTATATTGAGAAAAAATGTCGAAATATTGCAAAGCAAATATTATACGACATTATTTTCGATATTTATTGGTTAAAAAACATTTCATTTTAATGATAAAATATACGTTTCTGTGAAATATATCTCATTAATTGTGAAAAGATAAAATAGATGGCTGATTTGCTAACAATAAGAATAAAAATTTATTTTCCGTATATTTAAATAAAGATTTATTTCAATAAAATACATTTTTTACAAATACATTTTTAAATACACTTTTCTCAGGGCAGGTAACTATTTCCAGGTTAAGTTTAATAGTATTATTTAAAACAAGTAAATCGTCTTTAATGAATTATTCTAATCTACACGCTACAAGAATACAAGTTGCGGATTAAATCAACGGATTCTTGTAATAACAGATTAAATGTTAGTCGATAATAGCGGTGATAACCTACCGTAAGGTAACAGCAGGGTCATAAAAGATATTTTTACATTGATCGCCCACTGCCATTTACATCCCCATTGTCAGTCGTTTGTACAAAAAATGCAATAAAAACGAATGAATTCATATACGCGGATTCCTGTGGATCACCGAATGAACGGTTATGTTCGATCCCGCTGGCTGTGCGAGCGCGATAAATTTCATCGACTGACGTGGGATTAGATTTCGAATGAAGTTGGTACACGGCCGGGTATTCGTATTGCAGAGTACTTAACGTCGTGTAACGACCGCGGGAGGTTCGTGTCGCGGTCGCGACTCGCCGCGGGTCGTACTGATTAATGTCTCCAGCCGGCGTATCTGGGACCCCTGACACCGCCGATGAAGCGTGTCGCGGCGGTGCGGTGTCAAGGATACAGTACCTCAGTAGCTCGACGACTTTAGGTAATGAATCTGCGGAGATTCCTAACGACATCGGAAAATTATGAGGGACCGCGCGTTGCGGCAGCGGTCGAAATTCGCGAAACCGCAGAACCGCTCGCGGCGACATGACGTTTTTATAACATCCGTGCGATTACCGTTACATCAGGACTGTTTCGTTCACTAGACCTTCACGACACAATTCCTGATATATCTATGAGCCTCGTTTTTAAAACCTATAAAAAATTTACTGGCACAGTAAAAGATGAAAATAAAATTGAGTTATGTACGAGTTCCTCGCGTTTCTGCATGATTTTAACATAACGTCAGTATTTTGAAGACTTAGCTATTAATAAAACATAGAGTGGTCATACATACATTTCCTGTTTAATATTAGCTGTCTATGTAAAAGATAAAAGTGCATACGGAAAGAACAGTTTTGTTGAATTATCAAAATAATTAGTAGGACGCGATCGAGCTGATTGCTAAAATAACACAATTTTTTGCAACATTACTCATCATGTTAAGTTTCCTATACATAATTATTTTAATGGTCCAATAAAAATGTTGTCAAATCTCAGTATCTAATTAAATTTTTTAATATTTCAGCAAAATTTTTCTTTCCGTATATCTGTCGGTATTATGTCGATGCCAATGATGCAATAAATGTACATCAGTAATGACATTACATAATTGGAATTAACATTAATACGACGCGTTTAATTTAGAATTATATATAGAAATATATATAGAGAAAAAACGTAGTTCAAAGAGACCTTCACAAATAAAATCATACTGTGCGTAAAAAGCAGGCAAAAGGCGTGAAATTACGATGTTATTAATAATAAGTTTGTCAGGCATGTATGCCAGAAAGTCATAATCGTGAAATAAACATTGTTACCTTGGCTCATGGAGACACGTGTGGTCTATTCAGAGGCTCGCGTTCGTCCATTAACAATTTTACCCGTACCTACCGACCGTATTTCATCGCGCTAATCCTCGCGCTTAATCGTAGAATCGCGATTATTCATCAGCGGGTGAATTTACGACGGTCAACGCGAGAAAATATAGGAACCGGTGACACTCAGGATTAAGTCCCGCGCACCGTAGAAAATGAATAAAGGAGGAAAAAGGATACTTTTCGAAGAGACGACGAGGAGACAGAGAAAGAGAGAAAAAAAGAGTACATTTTTGTGCTTAGGTTAACGGCGTGAGTAATTCATGTGCAGCTCCACGCGCGAGGCGCCTGAGCACTAAGAGGATGATTCATAATATTGTTAATTATGTTAATTGACGGAACCCATCGTTGTGGCTACGGGCTGCTGCAATATGCACGGGCCTTAATAGCACTGCCACGTCGCTTTGCTGTCACGTTACGAATGATGCCGCGGTGACTGTGTGGCATCGGGCCAGCTCTCGAGGTCTCGGAGGTTTTGCCCGGAAAAAAGGTAAAAAAAAGGGAGAGAGAGAGAGAGAGAGAGACTTCGCGCCATAACTTACTGACTAGAAAGCACGATAATCCGGCGACACGTGGGAAATTCCAAACGACGTCATTACTGTACCGTATTCTTATTCATGCGGGTCACAGAGGTTTCCGTGCGCGCCAACTTCGGGAATACTAGGATATAAGTTCATCGGTAATGCGACCGTCACCGTTTAACTGACCATTAAGTATACTTACGTAGGCTATCTGTTTTACGTGTAATATATTTTCAGTAAGTTTTAGTAAAATCTCAAGAGACTTCTCTTCGCGTGATACTTAATCTATAAAACTTTTGATTCGCAAATATTGTCTCATGAATAATTTTGTAATTTTATCAGACATCAACGATGGAGAAAATATCTCTTAAACATTGAAATCTTATTTGCAAAATAAATGCGTTAAATATTTTCATTACAAAAGGAAAAAATAAAATTATCTAATATCATTATTTTCCGATATGTCTAATTTATGGTTCATTTTTCCGCATGATTATCTTTTAGAGACTCGGTGAAAATGTATCACGTAATCTCTGGAGGGAGAAGACAATATAAATCACGGCAAGTAAAACGCTAATGAAAGCAATTAAGTAATGCCGACGATGTCGCGCGAAGATGAATCACCGGCTTCTCAGAAATGAAAGCTGAGGTAATTCCATCTGAATTTCGCGACAAAATTGATCGACAGCCTTATCTTAAGTGGACTCAGATCGTGCCTATAATAATCGTTTGATCTTTGAATACTCCGAAAGAATTTCTCGGCGCCTGTGTTACAAGCAACGAACGCACGGGCGATTAATTACGACGAAAGGATGCCTGGCGGTACGAAACGCCTCGTGCTTCGGACCGCGCGAGAAGATATTAATATAATTTCTATCGCGCAGTTATTAGCATTCGAAAATGTTATAGGTTATTGCAACACACGTATGGCGTTGCCCAGGACGCCGGGAGTTCGCTCGGGCGTATAAATCCCAATGTCGTAAACCGCGCGCCAGTTAATGCGATTAATAAATTAACGCCGGCTGCGCGCTGTGTTTTAACTCCGTTATCATTGTACTTGTAAATGATTTAATCCAGGCCTGCATGCGCACATGGGCGGCGATCACGGCGAACGCGCCGTTTCGGTAGGAAGAAAAAAAACGAGGCGCGATCAGCATTGTGTGTGCAAAGATCAAGGTGTCTCGTTAATACTCGATGAAATGCGACCACAATACCTTCGCTCGATTATAAGAGATAATTTCACAATGGCGTATACTTTTCTTCCAGCTTAATCCGGCGTGATAAAAAATGATGCTATAAATATATCTGGCGTGATAGCGAAATCGTTATATACGATCGTAGTACGCAGTATTATATTGGAATATTTCGATTAACAATCGTGATACTAAAACCTATAGTATATTCGAAATAGCGATATTGCAGTTGTTGTGATACACGCTGCATGACCCTACCTATCTACGTTACAGGTGCAGGAGGCACCAGTCTCACCAGCGTCCTCCTCTCTGAGCAATCAAAATCAAAACGAGAGCGAGCAGCAGGTCTTGCTGGCGACTATGCAACCGGTGAACGTGCTCGATCTGCACGAGCCGCCGGCCGTGCATACGCTCCATCCCAAATACCACCATCATCATCATCGTCACCATCACCATCACCATCATCATCATCACCAGCAACAGCAGCAACACATCCAGGGCAACGATTCAGAAGACGTGCAGCAGCGCGCTGCAGCTACGGATGACTCTGACGACCGCGTGTCACCCGGTACCGAGGTGGCCGCCGCTGCCGCGGGCAACACGACACTCGGCGTCGGCGAGCACAAGATGATCGACCTGATCTACAACGACGGACAAAAAACAGTCATGTATACCCACGATAAAGAGATCATTTACGAAAATGAGCACGCGGACCGCGTGCAGGTGGTCGAGTACCCGCCACCACCGCCGTCACCGCCGTCACCGTCGCCACCGTCGGCCGGTGTCACGAGAACGACAGGTCTGTTGCCGCCGTCCTGCGTCACCCCAAGGTCCGCTGCCACGGCTGCCACCGCTACCGCCCTGCATCTGCACCACTATCCGCAGCTGCAGCTGCAGCACGAGGACGATCTGCCGCCGACGGTGCGCCATGCCGTCAACGCGACCGTGCCGAATGGCGGCGCCGCGACAACCACGACGACGGTTCTTGTGCTGCAGGAGCTCGTCGCGACCGATCCGGCCGCCGCCGGTGCAGCTGCGGCCGCACAACAACTGACACTTACCGCCGCCGCCGCTGCAGCTTCGTTTCGCGCTGGGTAAGTCAAGTTTTTCCGTTACGTTTCGCGAATTTTCCTCGTATCCGCTCAACCAGTTTGCGCTTGATCTTTCGATCTTTATCTCACACACGCTGTTCTCTCACTCATCGATTCAGACGATCAGATAACCTTCGGAATGAATACGACCGTTCCTTAAACCAAAAAGCATACCGTCTGCATCATACAGATTCTACGAAATCATTAAATATTTATATCGTAATGCTAAATAACAGATTATTAACTTGAGGTTGAGGAATAATCGAAATGCATAAACAAGAGTCCTTACCTAACGGAAAAGATCAGCGTATGTATGCGATAACACATCTAACGAGAGCAAAAATTTTTCGTACTATATATCATCTCGTAGTCTGATTTAATCGCGTGTTCGAATATTTGTTGAATAATAATCGTATGCGACCGAGTATTAGGTATATATGTTTACGTTGCAAGTCCCACGCGCATATTTCACATATAATTAAATCTATCTTGACCGTGTCACAGTCGTCGAATGATGTTGTATTCGAGGCAGGTTGTAATTCATCCTTTCTCTGATTATTGACTCACAATGCCTCTTGCGGTTTGTCCCATCCGTAGATGCGACCGCAACGTTACAAACGAAATGTGCGGACACGAAATATTGCAGTGGGAACTTGGATGTTAATGTTTTTCATTAACAGGTATCTCTGGTATTTTCACGAAGTATGTCAAAAAATATATTGCTATGTGCATTCGCACATGAGATTATGAATACATTACATTGCAGCATAAACTGATTAATATCGTGTCGTTGGTAGGTGCTATAAAGATAACAATAAGTAAAAAAGATTAATGAGAATGAATCACGTTTGTTTGTAACGTTGCGAAAGTCATTGGGAGAAAAAGGCGTGATTGCCGGATACGCGCATACTTTCCTTCTGTCGAGATCGCCTGGAGATATTCAAAGGAGATAATATATTAAACGAGAGGACCCGAAGACACGGCAAAGGTCATAACGAAAAAATGGAAGGATAAGCTAAATGTCAGCTTCGGAGCTTGTTACAGGCTCACAAATGAACGTGAGGATTCAGTGCTTCGTTAGCGTGCGTATTTACGAGTGTACGACCGAAACGAGAGTAATAATTGCGGACTTTTACGAGTTACGCGAAGCAATTCTATCCCCTTCGTAAAGGAACTAAGTACTCGAAGGTCGGAAACTTACAGATGTAATTCGTCCAACTCATTCTTGAAAATTACCGTGTAACTAGATCAGATCAGTCAAGATTAAATCAAAATATTTATTCAATGCCAGCCAACAATAAAAGTAATTTTTTTCCACAAGTGTGGATAAATCATGGATAAATCTGATAGAGAGCCAATGACGTCTGTATAGAAAAAAAAAAAAAAACGTCTCGGTAAATAACGATTAATAACTTTTTAAATTTTTTTTAAAATTTTTATTATTATCGAATTGTGGCAGGCTATTTACATCGACGGTAGCGTAGACGTCAGAAAAAGAATTGTAATGAGAGTACGTAGCCGCTCGAGGAGCGGAGTGCTATCTGGCGCATGTATCAGCGTCGACAATTAACAATCATTGCGCGCACTTAGCCGCGAGCGGTGCGGATAAGTCACGTTGCTATATAGAATTTATTATTATGACGAAGACTACCATCTCGCGCGCGTATGTGCGCGCGTATACAACTCGATACGCGAGCGCGCGCGAGTTACGCGCGCCGGCGATATCCCGCGCGCACACCGTTCTCCGCGCGCGGAATATCGGCGAACCAATAACCATTAACGCACGCACACCGGCGCGCGCCACCTTGCACTTTTGCAATAAATAAAAATCAACCGCAATTAATCGGCGTGAGATATGCATGCGGGAGACCTTGGATGCCACGAAAGAAAAACCGCGCCACTTCTCCGCGCGATCGCTCATTTTTTCGTTCACCCTGTTATTACGAAGTGTGCTGCCCATACACTCTCCCGCCGAATTCCCGCCGTTTCGAGTGAGACTCTCGCGGGTCCGTTCACCAAACAAGCTGTTTTCTCCTTTCTATTTTTTTTTTCTTCTTTCTTGCTTCTTCTCCTTTCCATTTTTCGTCGGAATATATGGTTGGACGTGTATACAGATTGAAATATTCGGCCGACTCATTCCTGAGAAATAGCGACTGCCTCTCTCACTAAGAGGTACCTCCATAGTGATCTTCGAAAATTCAAGTTCCCTTTCACTTCGCACCTTCGGACGCGTCACCGTGAGTTTCGACAATAATCATGATGTAGAAAAAAGAGAAAAAGGAAACCTTGAAGAGATCTCATTATATATACAATTCACTTGCGTTTTCAAATAATTTTCTTCCGTGATATCGATAGATTGATGTAATATTCGGAGAATAGTTTTATTAAATTTATTATAGTCTTTCAAAATTAGAAAATATATATCTATTGTTACTATACATTGCCATATTTGTCAAGAAACAAGATTTTTCAGAAGCGCATTTTTATAAAAATACTTTATCTCGCTCTTTTTTCAAGGAAAACGCAGGAAATAATTCATAAATAATTTCTCGTTTAACAAAGAAAATATTCCGAGTTAAACTCTTTCGTTCCCGTGATCGAATGAGGTGAGTAAAAAAAGCCCCTAGAGGGCCTCTCTGCTATTCTCTTTTGTCTAGTCCTCGACGATCAGAACGTAGCGAGCAAAAAACAATCCCTCGTATTCTCTTAATCTCTTTCTATTGGTCGTCCAAGCCGTATAGGAATGAAGAGAGAGAAAACGAGTACCATGAGAGAAAGGGAGCCATCCCTTTCCGTTCGCCCATGGCCTCAAGAAGGAAGTAAGAAAACAAGTTTCTCGCGCAAATTCTTATTTCTTTTTATTTAGTTTGCACAGGATTAACTGTTTATAGTTTGCGTGCATTGCGTATATTTTTCCGTAAAACACAATTTGTAAGTCAAAAGAAATATATACCATATATCTCTTATCATTGAAATATATTGTAAAAGTAAGATTATAATACGGAAATAATTCGTGTTAACGGAACGTCGGAAGGTTCGATGTTTTCTGTCTAAGCACCTTAGCTAAAGATCGATTCAAAGGAACTGGTTAGGCTGACATGCGTGGGTGCGTGATATGAATGAGTATATATGACAGGTGATGCGTGTTATTGATATAAATGTTCAAGAAAAGAGTAATGTATGTATTAAATCCATACACAACGTCGTACGACAATTCGATATACTCGCATCTAACGTGTTCTTTCACCAATTCTATTCGGACTTGCATAAAAATCAACCGAGTAACGTCGATACGTGAGAAAGTTCGATGGATACTGTCATTCCTAGGCTGGGAACGTGAAAATTATAGCTTTAATATATTTAAAAAAATATATTTAAAATTTATAAATATAATTAAATAAATATATATATATATATAGAATAAATAAAAATAAAAATATATTTAAAAATATATTGTACAATAAGAATTATCGATAGAATTAAAAAAAAAGGAGTAGATCGCTTGTGGCAAATTCCTTTGTCTGATATGATTAAATATTCAGCGGGATTTAATTTTTTAATCTCAAAGAAAATGTAAAGTGATTATTTCGTCACGATGAATGAACAGAGCAAGACGTGAATTGATAATTGCAGTCCATATATACGTCCTATAATTGTCAGCGTGTAAAATGGAAACGGTCTGCTTTCTATCCTCGACTCGTTCGTCCTTTTAATTCAAGTTCCTTCCAAGAGAAGATTATCCGTCAGGACGGATTGATCCATCTTAAATTGAGAACCTGTCTCGGATTTCGCCGTCGGGCGAGCAACCGCGAACGAGTTTAAGCCGTGGAATAAGTAGCTTAAAGGGAGCGCGGGGCGAACAGATTTCGCTTTCGACAAGTTCCAAATCGACCGACTGAGTTTTATCCTGACGAGTTTTATCGCGTGCTCATCTCGTACTTAGTAAATATACTCGCGAACGTTTTAATCGGATTATGGAAGCAAAGCATATTTCCTCAATAACTAACACGCATTTCATCGAACTTTTAAATCGCGTGTTATTTATTCGTGCACGAGAAAAAACGTAGCTATAAATAACTCGTTATAGACGCCAATGAACGTCGAAGAAAATATTTTTGTAATGATTATAGGTGAGGACTAATGTAAAATCGTGTATGTTGAATTACGATATCAGTGACAGGAGGAAGAAATGCTGTTATTTCATGTATACTTAATTTATAGTCCATTTCCTGCCACCCTATCTTGCGCAACGCGATACGACTTAATATACTCCTACGCATTCCGTCTTTTCAATTAGCCAAACGTTACGAGATAGATCCCGATACGTTCGCCAGAGCTAATCGATCGTTTCCAACGACAACGTCGACTTTCCTGCCATTTTACAAATAACGCACGACAACCAAGTCCGCTGCGCCGATCGATCACCGTCTCTCCCTCGAATCAACGCCACGTTAACCGATATTATCAGCCACCGGCGTGTTCCTACATATGCCACGTTAAAATAATGGATATTAATAACATCCGCGAGAGACATCGCGATCTGACCTACTAATAGTAGTATTTTTCGCGATTCCATAATTCGCCCGCGTAGAAATTTATGGTGTTACTCCCACGCGGAAAGGCGCTCGTGGTTTATCTCGGGGCGCTCCGAACACAACGCCGCAGTGCAGTTTTTTTTTCTTCCTTTTTTTTTTCACGTCGCAGGTCGGGAAATTATAATGTTGGCGTGACGACTTCACACATCGCTGATCACCGTATTTTCCGTCAATGGGACGCGCTCGCGCAAATATAATCCTGCTCCACGTGTAGGTCCGCCGCCACGGTAACCACAATGGCGATCGTCTAATGGCGAGGAACCGAGCATCGCTCGAGGGTCGCAACGGCGTAATCTATGTTAATGCCCCGGCGGAGGTGGTTGAGGTATAATAATAGTGTTTTCGAGGATGTGACGTCATACACACCGGCGCGCACGCACACACGGCGCGCACGCATACGCGCTTTTC